GCTAAAAAGTCATTAGAGCTGATACATACAGACATATGCGATCCGATGCTAGCTCCATCACATAAGTAAAATAGGTACTTCATTCTCTTCATTGATGACTACACTAGAAGGACATGGGTATATTTCTTACGTGAAAAATTCCAAGTATTTGAAAGTTTTAAAAGGCTCAAAAGTTATGTTGAAAAGCAAAGTGGTTGCAGTATCAAAACTATTAGAAGCGACACAGGAAAAGAATATACATCAAATGAATTCAACAAGTTTTGTGATGATAAATGAATGGAGCATCAACTCACAGTTGGATACGCGTCTGAACAAAATGGCGTGTCAGAAAGAAAGAATAGAACAGTAATGGAGATAATTAAAGTTATTCAAATGGAGAAATGTCTTCCAAAAACTTTTTGGGCAGAAACAGTAGCACTGCAGTCTACCTACTAAATCGATGTCCGACTAAAGCTGTGCAAGGAAAAATGCCAATGAAAGCATGGAGCAGACGAAAACAATCAGCAAAGCATTTCAAAGTTTTTGTCTGCATCTGCTACACACATATTCCACAGGAGAAAAGAGGTAAGCTACATGAAAAAATAGAAAAATGAATCTCCTTAGGTTATACTATTGAGTATATAACCTAAGAACAGAGAAACTAATTATTAGTCGAGAGGTTAAGTTTGATGAAGATGCCACCTACAACTGGGAGATTGGACAAGTCGAAAGAAAAGCTATCAGCATCCTAACACAACCACAAAAACAGGAGGGTGACGTTGAGGAGAACAATCAACTAGAGTGCCCACAACAAGCAACTATAGAAGAACTGTCGACTCACGTGAATCGTCACCAAGAAAAACACGAAGATTATTGAAAATATATTAAAGTTGCAACTTGATGATTGTTGAACTTGAAAGCTATGAAGTAGCTTCAAAACAATCTAAATGGAGAAAATCTATGGATGAAGAAATAAAAATGAACGAGAAAAACAATACTTGGGAGCTTGTAGATCTTCCCCAAGATAAAGAAGTCATAGGAGTTAAGTGGATCTACAAGATAAAGTTGAATGCTGATGCCTCAATCCAAAAACATAAAGCAAGGCTAGTTTCCAAAGGATACTCACAACAATTTGGCATCGACTACACTAAGATATTTGCTCTAGTTGCACGTCTTGACACTATAAGGGTGTTGATTGTACTATCTGCACAGAAAAAGTGGAAGATTTACCAGCTAGACGTCAAATCAGTATTTCATAATGCCTATCTTGAAGAAGAAATTTATATAGAGCAACCTCAAGGGACGTGGTACAAGATAAAGAAGATAAAGTTCTTAAATTAAGGAAGACACTATATGAATTAAAGCAAGCTCCACGAGCTTGGTATAGCAGAATAGATAATTACTTCATTGAGCAAGGATTTAGGAAAAGTCAAAGTGAACCAACTCTATACATCAAAAAGCAAGGTACAAGCAGTACACTTATAATCTCTTTATATGTTGATGATCTCATTTATACAGAGAACGATGAGAAGATGATCGAGAAATTCAAGGCAGACATGTTGAAAACGTTCGAGATGACTGATCTATCATTAATGCACTATTTTCTTCAGATTGAGATAGCTCAATTTGAAGACGGGATCTTCATTGCTTAGAAGAAGTATACACTAGTCCATTAAAAAAATTCAAGATGGAAGGCTGCAATATAGTAGCAACATCTTTGGATAGCAATAAATCTCTCAGAAAAGAAGACGGTTGTCCAAAATTAGACAACTCACAATTTCGAAACTTAATTGGAAGTTTGCTCTATCTCACAGCTACAAGGCCAGACATAATATATGCAACCAGCCTACTTTCAAGATTCATGCAAAATCCAAGTCAAGTTCACTATGGAGCTGCAAAGCGGATACTGAGATATCTCCAAGGAACAAAAGACAATGGAATAAGTCTACACCTGACTCAAGACTACTTGGGTATACTGATAGCGCTTAGGCACGATCAGTAGATGATACAAAGAGCACATCAGGCTATGCATTCACACTAGGTTCCGGAATATTATCTTGGGCATCAAAGAAACAGGCAACGATTGCACAATCATCAGCTGAAGCAGAGTATATTGCATCAGCAATGGCAACGAGTCAAGCTACATGGCTAAAGCGCATACTTGAAGACACGGGAGAACCATAAAATAAAGTAACCGAGATCTACTGCGACAGCAAGTCAGCAATAGCAATGTCCAAGAATACCGTATTCCATAGCAGAACCAAACACATTGGCATCAAGTACCATTTCATCAGAGAAGTTGAAGCAAATAAAGAAACAGAGCTCAAACATTGCAAGACTGAAGAACAATTAGCAGATATATTTACGAAGGAACTACCATGAGCAAAGTTCGAGTTATTACAAGAAATGATTGGAGTAATCAAAATATGCACCAAGGAGGAGTATTAATGGTTGTTGCATATTTTGAGGTTAATCTAGAATTCACTAGAATTGCCTTGGGGAGCAAGAAAATAAATAATAAATAGAAGTCCCTAGAATTTTTTGATGAGTAAACAAAAATAGTAATTAAAAATTAAAAAATCAGAATTTTCTAGAATGTTTTGAGAAACAAGTAATAAAACAATGAAAAAAGTCAGCATATTCTAGAATAGTTTTCACCACCATTTTGTGTGTATAAATAGGGGCTACCACCTTCAAAATGTTGTAACAAAAAATTCAAAAGAGCATCCAACCTCTTGCATTGTAAATCAAAAGCCACTTTAAAATTAAAATTACTTTCTTCCTCGTTCTGCTATCTCGTTCAATTAAATTACTCCTATCATTTTTATCCCACATAAAATCTACTTAACCACTTCTATCTAAACTCATTTATTTCTTCTACTCCAAATAAAAACCTTCATTGAGTTCAGAGTCTAACAAAAATTTTGTTGGTCTCCCAATTTGGAGTGGCAATAGTTGGTCTCTCTCAGTTAATGTGTAAGCCAACTTATATGAAATAAATTAAGGAAACTTGCGAGAATGATATTTATATTTCATGATTTTGTCCATATATCATCTGCCATTGTCCACGATTATTTATGAGTAGTCACATGTCTTCCACGACAATTAATTGGTCCCCATGCTTTTTGCTAGGCAATGTAGGTTCATATAAATAACAACAGCAACATTGTAAGACAATTGAAGTAATTAGTCCAAGTATTTTACAGTTTATATTATCAAACATGTCGACATAGGTTTTTTGATATCATGCATACGATAAGTTGTCATTTCATTTTTGTACAATTCCATTTCGTCTAATTTTGTTTTTTGAAAATAGTATCACTTAAACTTTTAATTTACTCGACGAATAAGTAGCTATTTCTTAGAGATACATTATTTTTGAGTTAGAAATTGTAAAAATTTACATATGAAAGTTAACTAGATTTGACTGTAAATCAGATGACTGTTAGAAATTAGAAATTTGTTTAATGGACTCAATTTGTCACATTATAATAAGTATTCAAGCATGGCCATTTGTTGCTACCTTTCTTCCAAAAAGTATTTGTTACTACCTTTCTTCCAATAAGTAAAGTAATTGGACAATAAATGATTTTATATCTAAAATAAAGACTAATCAACAAGCAGTGACTCATAATTATATCAATCGTACTGGACAATGTAAGTAATAGTAGAGTCATACACATGCATCTCACAACCAATGGTGTCTCGACATCTGATTTCAAGGTATTGGTGTTAATTAACACCATGGTCTTGTAGGATATCAGACCTTAAGTGGAGGTGTCGACAACCATACTAGCCACAAGGAATTAATACCATGTGCAATGATACTAGTATCGATAACCCTAGATGTTATAACCCAAATACCAAAATTCGTTTGACACCTTCGTTTTTGTATCTCGTGTGACCGTGTTGATGGCTATAATATTTATACAATCATTTAGTGTTTTTGCTCATCTGTAAGTAATTATAATTGAGTGTAGAAAAGCTAGTAGCTTTATTTTCTTTATCAATCTGCTTATCAGACCAGTAGCTCGCTTTTTGTCAACTGCTAACTTATTCGTTAGACCTGAAATTTCAGAGGATAAAATTTAATTACCGTTAGTAGGTGGAATTTTTAAATTTAAATTGGCTTCCAATTTATAGTTGAAATTAAGGGTTTGCTGCAATTGATATAACTTTTTGATTGAATAATGATTATCCTAATTATATTTTTTGGCTGCTATTTTTCAATAATTATACATGGTAAAATTTCTTATCGGTTAATAAATATTTATAATATTTCTTGTTGCTTAATAAATATTTATAATTATATAGGAATAATTATTCTATCGATCCAGAATCGTATTGAATTATTTTATTATATAAATTATTATTATCATTATTATTAACTCTAAGGCAATTTTTTGCAATTACCCTTTCTATTTTTAAGAATTTCATAATTATATTTTCTACCCCTCCCTTTTAGTAAAGGTATTTATAAAATTATATTTTCTCGACAACATTTTCTTCAAAGCTTTAATAAGTATATACCAATCTTGAGATTTTACATTGTTGTAAAAATACGAGAGAATGAATTGTATTTTCTGTATTGACAATGTAAAAATAAGAAAGGAAAACTGAAAGAACTAAAAAAAATATTTTATGTCAAATATAATATACTTAACATAAATACAAAATAATATTTGTGAAATATAATATATTCAGCAGTTGTTAATAGAAGTGCCCAATAAATATAATTTTTAAAATAAAGCATTTATAGTTGATTAAATTGAGTTTTCATTTGCAGAATAATGTCCACACCATAATATTATTTGTCCTAATATCATAAATTATTCTGGATTGCAGAAGAGTTATAGAATAACTGCACGAAGTTCAAATAGGACTATTCTATGAAATTTGGTGATTCGGCCGATTCAATATGTAGTCGATCGAGTCCAGTCTTATAACTATGAAAGCAACGGGAATATTTAAATTGTGTAGTGATGTTTTGAATAAAAGGAAAAGATTACGAGTAGCAAAGATTTAGAGGTTCCGCCCGTGAAAACACTCTCATACATATTATACATTACATTACAGAAAATTAATGTCTCATGTTTGATCACATGCATTGTTCTTGCATGCAAGAAAACAAGAACAGTACAAAAAAAGGGAGAAAAATGGCATGAAAATTAAACTATTGTATTCATCGATCTTTGCTGGAAATGTCGTCGAATTGAGGGGTTTTAACATATATATGTTCTTGGCTTAAAAAAACTCCACAACGAAGATGGAGAATTCAAGCACAAGATGGTGGTATTTTTGATATTCCTTGATGTTGCAGCTCCACCATAACACCATCAATGGATGGAGGCTTCAATCCAAGTGGAAGTGGCAGCCATGGCTTTGATAAAGCATCTCCAATTGCTGCATCTATACTCTCCTTTGACTGTTACAAAGTTCGCATGCAAAAAGGTTTAACAAGAAAAATCCATAACATAATTCAATATATATCATTTATTTAGGAAAAATGTTATTCGTCACCATGGTGATGATCATCAATAATTACTGTCACATAAACCGTTGATGATCACCGATGAATAGTATTACTCTTTAATTATTTGCCATAAATTTGAATGGAAACAAAGGGAAAGAGAAGCATCACCGGGTGAAAGTCCAATGGAGGTTGAGGCAGTGTTTGTCCAGAGGGTGGTGCCGCTGGGACAACAACGCCGGTTTCTATTTTGTACATGGCAGGTGGTGGGATGCCTGGGACCGGTGGACTCGGAAATCTCTGCTTGCATAAATAATGGAGTTAGACACCCCCAAAACCAAGTATAGATACAGTTGAAAAACACTCCAAAAAAGTACTAAGGATTGAATTATTACCGTGGATGGCATATGCGGTGGGAAGCAAGGCGTTCCTGGTGTCGGAATCTATAAGTAGAGACAAAAAAAATGCCATTTGAGAGGGTCAATAAGGTTTATAATGGCACTATTCCATGACAAGGATTGTAACTTTTCCATAAATTTCACATTTGTTAGTCAACCGTAAAAAAAGTTGTATATTGGATTCAAAGTATCGTGTTAATATTACTTAATAAATTCCAAGGTCTTTTTGTGTCTTATGCACTTACACGCTGGTGATGGGAATGCCAAAACGGGTCAGCAGCCAGCGGCCTTGCATGAGGAGGCTGACCTGCTACCCAAGGCGGCGATGGGGTAGCAGGCGGCGGCGGCAAAGGTGCTAAATGTTTAGGCCACATGTTCATCACGGATTGGTCAACCGAAGGGTGACCCCATACATGCAAAGGTCTAAAATGAGGCATTGGTGTAATTGGAGGGAATCCCATTGTGGGTGCAAGCGAAGGGTTGACATCTCTCTTCCCAGCCCTGCATGTGGCGGTGCCGTACATTTGCCGCCTCTGACTCCAGCTCGCCGCCTCCGCTTCTCGAGCAAGCAAATGTTTCCGATGTGAACGATATTTCTGCATAATTTAAAGAAAATTACTTTTCAGCATGCTTATTTTACTTAATTAATAGCTTATGAAAATAAAATGCATTTAAGGTTGATTTTGTTCCATTAATTTTTCTAAATTAAATAATTGGAATCCACCTTATTATACCCGAGGAAGTGGCTATTTGAACTAATCCCACTTATCTATATGTCCAGATTTTCATTTTTCCATGTGAGATAGTCCATAAAATATTAAATTTTGAGGAATTGAATTTCCAATATGTGAAGAATGAATTTTCAAATATAATGTGGAATTCTTTTTTCTTTGTAAGAATATGAAATCTTGTAAATAATTGAGGTGAAATGAGAAAAAATTTTCTTCCACCAAATTAACTTTTTACTTCGAGACAAATAGTTGAAGGACAAGAAATAAATCATGCAATGCCAAACTTTTTTTCGATATTTCAACATCTTGTATATTTTGAATTTTGTATTTTAGATGTTTTGAAAATCCTTTAACTATTTTTTAAGTGCAAAATGAATTAAGTTTAAGCATAATCACCTTGCCCTATATATGATTAGATCAGCCGTTCAAACTAATAGACTCCAACAAATTGTAACATAGGAAAACATTCGGCGATAGTATCTTTGTAGACGAAAATCTGGGATTTTGATAAAATATATTTGCTGAAAATTTTCAATTCATATGCAAAAGAAAACGAAATACATGGAAAAAGAAATTTCTAATAATTTCTAATCATAAATAGGAGAAGAAATTAAATTATTGAAGAAGGAAGATTCCAGGAATACCTGAAGATGGCTGGCGATGTTATGGCGAGTGAGACAATCAATCCCCATAAGCTCCAAAATCCTTGAAGGGACAGCCTTATCCACACCAAGTTGCTCCACTGCTTGCACAAATCGCCTGTGTAGCTCTGGTGTCCAATCCACCTACATGCAGTTCAAGAAAATTCTTCATCTTTTCTTGGGATAAGCTGAATTTATTTATAAAAATCCACAAAATTTTGTCCATCACTCGCAATAAGGTACTTAAGCACAACATCGGAGCAAGTAAATGATCTGTATTCAAGCTTCACCACTACCCAATTATAAAAAGTTGTACACGTGATGCCCTAAAAATTGAATCCACCCAATTCTCGTGAGGGTTTTTTCACATGAAATTTGTAAAAACCATAAATATGAAAATGGTTGATATGTATATAGTCTTATGGATAAATTCCTTTTAGCATTTGATGCATAAAGGGCTTCTAATAAATGAACACATGAAACCTAACCCTAAAATTGTTGGATAAAGTATTCTTAATTACCTTCACTTTCCTCTTCCCCGGTTGATTTTTCGATTGCGCTGATGATTTTCTTCCTTTATCAGCTTCCTTGTTAGATTGATTAACTGCAGCAGATTCTTCCCTTTTACTCACCGTTTCCTTTCCAAGGATCAAACTCGACACTGAACCAATATCCGAGGCAGCTTTTTTGACCCGACTCTCATCTACTCTCTCAACTGATACCGATAAAGGTGTTGATGAGTTAATCTCCGATTCTTCACCACTACTAATTGAGAATTCAGCGAGAATTTCAGGGTCCATCTCCAAATCTGGCAACACATCTCCATCGTTGATCCCAACAAAAATATCATCAAAATCAATACTGTCAAGCAAATTCCCATTAGAGAAATCAGGGAACTCATCACCTCCCATTGAGAAAGTCTCCATCTGACTTTCCCTTTCATTGTTGGTGTTCTCCAAAGGCGATATGGCGAGCATTAATCCAGTGTTTGATAGAGCTCAATATTATATAGTATATATATACTATATAAAATAAATATATTCAATTCTTTTACATGCAGAGTTGCAGGTACTTTCCTTCCCGCCGGCAATCGGCAAACTTTTGCCCTTTTTCCGATGAATAGACCGACAATAAGTGCTAAATTTGGTAATATGATTCTTGTCGCTGTTTTTTCAGTGAAAGAAAACGGATCTCCACCACAACTTGTATTGAGGTCTGTCAAGATGTTTTTATGTTATTGTCTTGTCTTGGCTTGTTCTATATAAAATATAAGGTTTGTGGATACCCTTTTTTTGAACTTTAAAAAAAATCTTAACGGGCTTGCTCGTGAGTTGTATTAAAAAATTTTCTTCAACAAGAGAGAGAAAGAGGGATCAACTTGACATTGTCAGATAATAGGGATATGTACATATTAATTAATGTATATCTGTTGTAGAGTAAAAAGAAAAGATGTTATCATGCAGTTGAGCTTTGTATGAACGATTGATTTCTTCATCATCATGTTTTTCCATTAATGACAGAAGGAAACTACTAAGAAAAGGGAAATGTTGCAAATTGCAGGTGATGTTGATATGTAGAAATAGAAATACAATTAATCTAACACAAATATGTTGACTTTTCATTAAGAGAAGCAGTTTGTGAGCCACTTCATTCCCTTAATGATGCGCAAAGCCACATGTCCGATATATTGAATATGTGATTGATGTCAATTGTGTTATTCTTAAGAAAAGGTTAAAATAATTAGTTTTTTTCCCTCCTTTAATTAACGACTTAAGGTGACATGTTTTGTTATTGGCAAAGAAGAAGCTAACGCATAAAAGAAAAACTTATCCTATTCAAGGACATGAAGTACAATAAAAGGTCAAAAAATTACACTTTATATGCCTTGATCATACGATGAGTGTAGTATCTCTGTGGATTGTGTTCAATCTCGACTTCATTGTTGGATGGAGATCTTATAAATTTATTGCTAAATCCTAAATCTGAGTAATTATTTCTTGATAATGTTGTGTCCACAAAATTAGATGTTTATTCCCAAAAAAGAGATTATAACCCCATACATGAGGTATTCAGTGAAAATTTTCCTTTCCCGATGGGAGAATGGGTTCGTTTTGGATACTAATCCTATAGGGATAATGATGTTTGACTTATGAAGAATGATTAAGTCAATTTTTCTGAATTATACGTTTTTATTTTACAATGAGTACCAAATAAATGAATTCTATTAGCACTGATGGGATTTATAATAATTATATAAAATGAAAAATGGTTTATCCATACTTATTTTCAATGATTTTTTCTTTTAAAATTTAATTATGAAATATATTAAATTGTGTGTCATGTCACCGGTGCTTAACATAAGCTAAACACCGGTATTTAGGAGATCATTTTCGTGTGTGTGTATTTTAAAGTAAATGAAATATACTGATGAAGCATTAGTAGGTTTTCTAATTAAGATGTGAATTTTGTAATTAGTAGGTTCATTAATTGTGTTTTGGGTCCCATTAAATGATTTAGGGAAATGTATATTATAATATATGATCAAGATTTTTTTAAAATGAATATATGCTAGTATCCGATTACAAGTCAAAGAGGCGATTGAAAAAACAAATAACAAAAACAGCCATAAGGTACTTAAAATCGGATGAGAAATGGTTAATCATCAATCATTTCTTTATAATGTTATGTCCCACAAATAATTAAATGATTATTCACAGGGAACGAGATTATAACTCTACATACAAGATATTTGGTAAAAATTTTCCTTCTCGAATGGGATAATGGATTCGTTTCGGGTACGAATTGATAGGAAGAAAGATTTTCGACTTATGGAGAATGATTAGTTGATTTTTTTTTACAAGAAAAGAAACGTAAGTTAAAAAAATATAAAGACTTTAATTAGTTACATAGTTGGATGCTTTCAATTAGTGGAATATTGCCATAGTCGACATTATCTGATTTTCTAATTCAATTAATAAATGTGGAACACAAATAAAAAGGTCAAACAAAAATTTAAGAAAATTACCAATGAAAATTAATATTCTTTTTTATTGATTTTATATCGAGTTTATGATAGGTTATAAATTCCATGGTCCGTGATATAGTTAAAAATGTACCAAGACTTGTCCCTTTCCATTAGCTATGTCTGCTGTGCTTGCCCTTATCCTATGATGCTATTCACATCCCTTTCCCTTTCCTCTTAACTTTAAATACATGTCCAAATTGAGAAACTTCAATTTGAATAGTTCAAAATCAATATTGGTACAAGTACCAAGATTAAATTACAAGAAATTTCAAGACTTCAACATTGCTCGTTTCTGAAAAACTCACTTTACTGTCATAACAATTAACTTTTTATTTTTAAATGTGACAAATAAAAAATCATTTATTTTAAAACTTATTTATCTGTAAAATTATAAGATAACTTATCAAGCTTAGAAAAAAACCCTCTTAAAAATTTATACTATTTAAATGGTTGGTTTCATTCCTGCCACAAAAAAAAAAAGGGCTGGTTTCATTGCAGTCTTAATAAATAGCATCTCGTCAGTACTATTTTAAGACTTGTTTAAGCAACACAATTTTAACTAATTTATATTGCAATAAAAAACAACTTATTTAGTTGTTGATTGAAGGAGTAAAAATTTCCAACACGATAAATTTTATAGAGTTGGCAGATCCATAGATATTTCGTTCAAGTACTAATATATTTATGATTTTATTTTTTTTCTTCTATAATATTACTTAGTATTAAATAATTTTAAATGACCAAATTTTCTATATCAATCAACTTTCACACAGATCTTGAGAAAATGTAATAAAAAGTGCTCAACCAAACTAGAAGTTACTGTATCAGAATTTCCCTACTATATAAAAAGAGGAATGTGAAAGCACTGTAGAAAGCAGCAGTGTTTTAATCAATTTTGTCTCACTGTAGTATTTTTAATTTTTTTTTATTAAGTGGTTGAACAAAAGCGATTTTGTTTGTTTGATATATATTTTATTATACACTACCTTCAAATTTACTGCAACACACAATTTTCATTCCTCCCACCACTCCGATATAGATATATATAGTAGGGATATAAGAAAAAAATCACTTTTATATAAAAAAAATAAATTAAAAGATAGAGATAATATGATAGAGTGCTTCAATTTATAAATAACTCTTGAACATTAGAAGCGGATACAATTTTCAATGAAATTATACTTTCGGGTTGTAGGCCAGGAATTAAAGTGTTCAATATATTGCTCAAATGTTATTTGAGAAAAAACCTCTTGGAACTTGCAGACAAAGTTTCGAGAGTTTTTATTTTTCTCTTTACACTGTGCGGAGAGATAGTTTGCTATCTCTTGGCATTTTGTGAAGTCTTTTTTTTTGTTCATGTATGGAGATTTTTTTTGGTCTTATAGAGTTTAATGTATACTAAAATTATTATTATTTTTTAATGTTGTTGGTATGATGCGTGTGTGGAAGAATATTTGTTAATCTCCATAAACAAAATTCTTCACAAAATGTATAATAAATCTTCTTATTACGCTAATAAAATTACAATAATTTTTTTTTTTTTTACAAATAACAAAAAAAAATTATTTTTATTTTCAATAAAAAAACACATTTAAAAATTAGCAATTTCATAACCACTTTTTTTTTTTTAATTTTTGGAAATACAATTATAAAAAATGAAACAATATTGAATTACAACATTTAATACTTAAGAAATTCAAAATTAAATAAATTTTATACATTTATAACAAATTATAAATCAATATATGTAGCTTACCGTATTTGCAAGCAACTTACCGTATATGCTGTCTACCGTATTTGCAGCCTTCTGTATTTGCAACTTACATTAAATGCTGCCTACCGTATTTGCAACTTACCGTTTGCAGCCTACCGTATTTGCAAATAATTTACCGTATTTTCACCTTATCGTATATGCTGTCTACCGTATTTGCAACTTAACGTATATGTTGTCTACCGTATTTGCAGTTTATTGTATTTTTATATACCGATTTTCGCACTTACAATTACTGAGAATATAGAACATCGTATATTCACTTACCAAACCGAATTTCAAAAAAATTTCTTGATTTTTATTTTTTCAACATAAGTATAAAATAAATATTAAATATATATGAAGTACAAAATATAAATACATATGAATATGGTGCTGAGAGAAATCAGTATCGTAGTTTTACGTTACAAATAACTTTTTTTTTCAATTTAAAATTCTTTTTAATTCTTTTCTCTTCAAATTTTTTACTTATAAGTAACTTTTTGTAAAATAGTTTCTGTCTTATACTATATTTATTTTTAAATTTTTTGAGAGGTATGGAAATTGCATGTTGCAGTGTTTTCTTACAGTATTAATATTTTTTAATTAAAATTGAAAAAATTAAGTTTTTTCATAAAGAAAAAAGAATTAAAAAGTATTTTAAATCAGAAAAAAATTTATAATATGAACAAAACAAATAAAAAATATATAAATGAGGGGAAAAAAAAGAAATCTCCATGCATCATGTGCTAATGTAATGAACCAAACGATTAAACTTCATCAAATACTTCGAATTTTCAACCAGTTTTGAAAAATCTACAATTTTGATGCTAATAAAAATACAATAAATACAAAATTCGTGCAACGCACGTATCAAAGACTAGTTTATTGAAATATGACAAACTTTTCTTGATATGATTAGTATGTCTCCATCTTCCGCAGTTTGTTTTGAAACAGACTTGAGGGCTGTAATTTCTTAAATAGTGACTTTAATCTTATCTTATCAGATAAGTCATTTCCGTTGTCTTTAATTTGTTATTCATCGATGATTCTACACCAATAGTCTTAGCTTATCAAGTTCTTCCAATTTAAAACATTTTTATAGCTTAAAAAGTTTGGTTAATCTTTAATTTTAATCTTAAACAAATAACTTTTTGTTGCTTGAAGTTGAAAATTATAAGTAAATTATATCTTTTAAAAGTAAGTTAAGAGTTAGTTTCAAGCATGAACTTATTATTTAATCTTCAATCTCGACAATTTACTTAAGAAAAATTGGAAAAAAATAACATTGTGATCCGAACATTGTACATTAGAAACATTTCTGCTAACAAATCTATAGGATGATAGTGAGCAGGACGGCCAGGCAACCTACCCGTCCCCTATCCCGTCGGGATTTTCGGGAGGTGGGATTAAATTGAGATTAAAATATCTCTATCTTTTTACTATTTACTTATTAATTTTTTTAGAAATTATTGAATCTACTTTTTAAATATACTTCAAATAAAAACAAAAATAAAATTTAAGAGTTTCCCATCTTGCCCTAATATCCTTATCAACCAGGAATTTGTGATCTGAACGACAACATGATTACGCATGCTATACGTAAATAAAAAATAAGTAATGGTGTAATCCTTTCCGTATGGAATCAGAGCAAAGCCTTCTCGGGTAGCGCAATGCATTTAGCAAAGACCAGATATTGACATGATTTCGTGTGCTGGATGCAATCAGGGGTGGAGTCAAGAAATTTGTTCAGTGCGTGCATAATTTAACCCACGTCGAATATTGAGTTTTGATCATGAATTTAATGATAATAAAACTATAAAAAAAAAGATCATGGGTTTGGGCCTAAAAATAAAACCCATGTAAATTAAAACATGTTTTTATTCCACCTTCCCTGCTGCTAAAAGGGGGGGGGGGGAATGAAAATGGTTTGGGCCTAAAAATTCAGTGCGGGCATATACCCGCAATTGTCTCAACATGGCTCCGCCCATGGATGCAATTACATTTCGATAAATTATTTGCTTAATTACTAGTGGACGTGGTCAAGTTCTAATCTATCCTTTATGATCTATCTTTCTCTTTTTTATGATAATACAATACATCAATGACGACTCCCTATTAATATGAAAAATTAGGGCAAAAATGAAATTATAACTATCCTTAATGAGATCAATCGACGTACTGATTCACGTATCGACAATAATTAGGTTCCATAATTTAACAAAAGCAAGCACTTTAATCATAAAAGAAGAAATTAATTCATTTTCACATTACCAGTAGCCAAATTTAAAGTGTTAACAAGTAAATATTAAGTTTCCTCAACAAGTTTTTACCAAAGTGAGTTTAGAAAAATTAGGGTTGGCAACGGTTCGGTTATGGATCGGTTCAGCCAAAATCATAACCGTACCACCAACTTTTTGACCATACCATAACCGTGTAAATCGGTTCGGCACGGTTCGGTTCGGTTAATAACCACGAAAATAAATTATTTTTTATAGATTCATCCATCAAATTGATATAAAATAATTTATGAAAAAAGTCAATGAAAACAAAAATACAATATTCCAAATGAAAATGTAAAAATTATCAAACAATATTCCAAATGTAAATGCAAACATTATCCTAATTTTTAATTGTAAAATACAAATTTAACAAACAATATTATAAATATAATAATACTAAACTTTTCCTTCATTCTTAATTGTTGTGTATCGAAGTTACTTGATTTATTCTTCCCTACAAGTCTTACTAGTATAGATCAGCATTTTCAAAGTTGATTCCTATTCATCCTTAGCAATACTGGCACGTCTAAAAAATATCGAACTCTATTTTTACATGATCATCAGTAATAGAATGGCTAAGGCGACGACGACTTGGACCGTAGAGGCGGTGGAGCCGTACGTGAGTTTGTGGTTTGTGGAGAGTAGGGTTTGCATTTATATATTATCATACTAATGCTATTAGGGGCTAATGGTAAGTGGGCTGGCCAAATGAGTCAGGTAGATGTAATGAGGAGGGGAGGGATTTTGTTTTGGTTTGAATAGAAAAGTAGTGTAAAGCTCATAATCAATTCAATTGTGTGCGTGTGTGTGTGTGTGTGTGTTTTTTTTTTTTTGATTTTTTTTAGCGGGTAATCAGTTCGGTTTCGGTTCGACGACGTAAATACCATACCCGCACCATTACGAACCGGTTCATTAAAATTAAAACCATATTTGCCCCGTTGCACCATCGGTTCGATTTTTTTCACCCCATTTGGTTCGGTTAACTGCGATTTTCGATTTTGACGGTTCAAATTGCCATCTCTAAGAAAAATGTTAAAAATAATTTTTTGTTTAATTTGGAACAATGATCTTTTCTAGATTACTGCACATCTGAATCTCTAAATTTTACCCTTTGAATTGGACGATGATAAGTGTGTTTTTACACCCTTATTTGGCCAGAAAACATGATTAATTGTTGATCAAAGCGTTTGAATTGTAGCTTAATTCTATGTAATTATGTTTTATAGGACCATATTGATGACTATGATGGAATTCAAGAGAAAAGAAACGAAAAACGATCAAAAAGGAAGGAAATCCAAAGTACGAGAACTAAATTGCAACAATTTAATAGTTGATTCGGACCACAAAATAAAGACAAAAGATGTTGCGGGTTCAATTGAATGTAATTAAAAGTCAAAGGGTTGAAAATGCAAGAGAAAGGACTTGAAAGAATTAAGAATTGACTTCGGGAACTAAAATGCAACATTTGGGAGTTTTTATAACTGAGCGACAACCCAGTTATTTTGAATGGGCGACTGCCAAAAGCAAAAAAAATAATTATCCAGAAGAAATCCTTGGCCTGGGCGACTATTCAGGTGTCGCCTAAGCTAATCGCGACGAAAAGTTTCTAGTTTCCTATTCTGACTGAAATTCTTATGGAAACAAATCTTTGGAGGTATTTAACAATCCTAGGGCCATTCCTAACCATACACCACGCATTATAACACATTCATAAGGGTATTTAGAGAGGAGAACAAGGCAAGAACATGGAGATTGACATCGAGACACAATGATTCAATTCAAGATTTAAAACGGTGATGTCTTTTCTTTATGATTTAGTTTGTTTTCTTCTTTCCACCATGTTAGGCTAAATATTTCTGTATTAGGAGATTGATGAATCTTGTAATGTGATATTTTATTCCTTTTTCTATATTTTTTATATTAAAACACGTATTGAATATTTTGAATGGTTTATATGCATTTAATTTTTCAGGAATTAAGGGTCGTAATTGTGTGGGTTTGGGTGACTTGTTCCTTGCATTCGAAAGATGGGAAATAAGTTCGACAGAATATAAATTATTGTAGGGTCCGATAAGGGATAGATATATACCGCTATGCTCTGCATGAATTTTTAAGTACTCACAAAACTGCATGTATTCTTGTATATTTGCACCTGTCATAGATATATAGGTTGGTGGTATATGAAAGTAGATTCAACTTTGCTTGAGAGAGACTGTTGAATAGATTTAGGAGCATTGATTCTTCATAATTTCAATGTGTTGTCAAATTATAGAACTAGGTTTGAGTTGAGCATTGTTTGAGGATTCGTGATCCTAGTGCGTCATACAATTACTGAATACATTAAATTGCGTTCTCAACATTTAATAGCATTTGCGTTCATTCCAATAATCAATTTTGCATAATTAGGATTTTCTTTCCAAATTAGGGTTTCGTTTGAGCAAAAATTTCACTTTGGGTAATTTAGTTCGGTTAAGGCTATGTTAGATAAGATTGAACTAATCATTTTCTGTAGGACGATATTCGAATTCAATTGATCCACTTTATTACTTGTTAACGAATCTTACACTTATAGTGATTTGAATTGAAAGAAAATATTTCGTGAACAGACGACGAATACTGTGTTTAGATTAGAAGTAATCAAAAGAAAATACTAAAGCATATCCTTTTACCCTTTGAATTAGGTGGCGAATTTCAACCAATATAGCTCGACAATAAGAACTCACTCATTCTTACATTAAAGATCCTAGAGTTCACAAATAGCAATATAAGCCAATAACGAATTAAGGTAATTTGTAAAGTGGACAACAAGGAGTTTAACTCTCTTTATCACGATCATATAAAATTAAACCCATAAACAAAGTGGTTCGAAATGGTTAAGACAAGCTGCATACTTCAATTTATAGAATATCAACTATTATAAACTTAATAGAATGGAATTCCGACTTTTTCGATCAACATACAAAATAGTATCTTTTGTACTAATCAACCTATTTCAAATCTCACTCACTCATTGAATGCACTTATAGGACATGATCAAAATAATACAACTCCCTTACATAGAAATCATTAACTCCTATTTAGGGGGATGAAAATCATATTTTAATAGATTTTAATAAAAGTTGATGAAATATGTGATTGATAGATAATAAGAGGGTGTTTATGTAAAATGTATTTTTTGAAATAGTAAATTAATGGAAAATATGTAGTTGAAAAATATGGAGAAATTTTTGATTTACGTGTAATATTATTTTAATAAAGAATGTGTGGTTGAAAAAAGGAGATAAAAAAATACATTTTGAAAAAATGGGTGCCAAACAGGCCTAAAAATTGTGGATATATTTGACGCCATTTTAAGGGGAAAATAAATTTTATAATAGTGTTTTTAGGAGAATATATGGTTTAAAAAGTAGAATAATTTTTGAGTTTACGTACAAAATTATTTTATTGGAAGTGTGTGGTTGAAAATAAATTTGAGAAAAAATGATAGTCTGTTTAGTTTGTATTTCAATTTTCTATTTTGAGGGCTTGTTTTATATTTGTTAAAAGTGCGTTCATTTTTCAAAACAGAAAAATTAGAAGAGGTTTGTTTTGAAATTTCGAAAAATCATTTTACGACATTTTTTTTTTCAAAAAAATTATTTATTCAATGAAAATAGAATTTTTTGTATGTTAGTATATTATTACGTAATATATATATATTAGTAAATCTTACAATATTTTTTCTACATACAAAAGCAAAAATAAAAATAAAAATGGAAATTAATGACGTTGATTGAAAATATTTATAACTGTGTTAATTTAAATATAGTTTTTAGAATTTTTACACAAATAATTATTAATAGTTTGAACTACTTTTAGTTTTCTAAAATTTTTATAAATTTATTTTTTTAGAATTTTTTAAGATTTTATTTTCTCAAAATCTTTATTTTTTTATTTTCCTAAAATTTCACAATTTTACTTTCTTGAATTTATTTTTTTTATATTATTATTATTATTTATAAATTTTATTTAAATGTTTGTTTTCCATATTTCAAGTACTTCTAAAATTTTCACTGAAAATGTTCAAAAATATCGAAAATTGTTTTGAGTATTGTGTTATAAGTTTAACTTTATTTTCGAAAATACATTTTTAGAACCACCATGCCTTACACATTTTGAGTGTTTTGTAAAGCTAAAAACTGAAAACAGCAAACTAAACACTTCTAACGCAATATCAAACATGGAGAAAATGTGTAATTAAAATTAATTATTAATTTTAACTTCAATTTTTACTCACTTTTAGACCTATATCAAACAAGCACTAATTATAACTGAGGGAGTAGAGATAAAGTGGGAGGCTCAGTTACCTTTGGCTTGTTTGCAAAGTCTCCAATCTGGCCTCGAGCTTTGCATATTCTACCGTCCAACTTACCTGCCCAAAAACTGATGTTCAATTTCCAAAATTGGGGTAAAAAAAAAAAACTTTTTCTAATTAAAATGAATTTTAATTTACAGGGGATTCAATGTTCGTTGCTGTCAGCTGTGATTCTTCATAAGAATATCTTTCATATCGTTCGAGGATCCTCCCCATGCTGTAAAGAAACCAAGAATTTAATGGTCTTTCAGTAAACTATCTTTATATATATGTTCAGTTAGTTTTTTAATTCATTTTCTATCAGCAAAACTAATTTGATTTTAAATGAATTTATTAACTCCTACAGTATTCTTATGGTTGGTAATAAAAATAAAATTTTATTAGTTAAAAATAAAAAATATTATCTACCTAAATTCAGCATCAACTACTATGTTGTGCTCGATTGGCCCCTTGACAAATTTCTATACTCATTTTCTATCACAGAATTGACTTCAAGTAGTCTTCACCTCTCTTTCACAGAGTAGAGGTGAAAGGTTGCAAAAACAAGAAAGCACTTGCATGAAACAAAACACACTCTCGATTCGTTACTTGATAGGACTGAACAATATAAATCCTTATTAAATAACACTCGACGAACGTAAAAAAGAAAAATAAGATCAAAAAGTTAAATCTAGTCGAGTAAACGAGAACTAGAACGAGAAGGAGAAGGAGAAGAGTGGATATAGAGGCATCCATACCAGGCACCAGTAGCATATTCATAGATCTTCCCTTTGGGCGAAAACACAATCAAACCCACATCTGCATCACAAAGAACAGAAATCTCATGAGCTTTCTTGAGAAGCCCAGATCTCCTTTTCGAAAATGTCACATGTCGATTTATCTTCTTCTCTATTCTCTTCAACTCAACTCTTCCCCTTCCCATGTATATATGACCTATTCTCTCTCTCTCTCTCTGCGTTTGCTGGAGGTAGAATAATTAGCTGTTTACACAGCAAGAAAAGGATTTGTATGCGAATGAAAAGTTTTCCAGATTTAGGTTAAGA